TCTAATTTGGGGAGGGGAAGGGAAAAAACAAAATGCTTAAATAGGGATACAGGTTGACCCATTGTAACAATGAGATGTACAAAACACTATGTTGAAAACGAAGTTTACAACTTCAGTGGGGGGTGGGGGTGGGGCTGGGGGGGCAGGGAGTAGTTGGGGAGGTGGGGAAGGGATGGTAGGGGAAAAACAAAGGAGGAGGCAACAATGCTCGATAGGAAATGTACTCATTACTTTACTCATGTAACTGTAACCCCTCTGTACAGTATTTATACAACAAAAAAGTATAAAAAATTAAAAAAGCAAAAAAAGGATGGGAGCATGGCTCAAGTGGTAGAAAGTCTGCCTGTTAACTGCAAAGACCTGAGTTCAAATCCCAGTGCTGCCTACATATATGCCTATAAATACATACCAGCACTTTGTCAGACACATGCACGCATGTATGTCTGCATGTGTGCGTGTATGTATATGTTTATAGACAGACACCATCATTTTTGTTATAAATGTTCACTAGATTGCAGATGTAAATGTAGTAGACTGTAGATTATAGATGTGGCTGACATTGATTACTTAGTGGTTAGGTGGTGACAGGGTAAAAGAGAATAGATACAGCATGTTACGAAACGATTTCAATATTTTAAGAAGTAGTGTGACACCAGCAGGGGACAATGATAACACAGGTAAGCACCAGATCTGCATAGAAATAATTTTTAAGTAATAGGTTCTGTAGCATAGTTCTACTGAAACTACAACAGGTAATGCAGAGAAGCAGGAAAGCATAAAACAAAATGGAAACTAGCAGCAAGGGCAGCAGTGGCAGCTGCACCATAACATCCTACTCCGACCACTCCAGGGCCTGATTCTGGCTCTGAGTCTAGCCACCTCAGCTTCCTTGGATCCTGTTTGAGTTCTGAGTGCACCTCTCTAGCCTTCCAGGATCTCCTTAACTACCCAATGTCTTGCCAATAAGCCCCTTTTTTCAGTTGGAGGTCATACAAGCTGGGTTCTGGTTATTTGTTAGACAGACCTTTGAGCACTAAAAGATGGGAGGGAGGAGTCTTGAAGATCTCTGAAGAGAAGACCGTTTCTCTCTTAGAAGTGAGGTTGGTCAGACCTCAATCACAAGGACAGGACAATGGTTTTATCTCTAGATCCCCAAGAGCATACTCACAATTCAGGCAGCAAGATGTGCCTAGGCCAAAATCAAGTCCCTGCTGTTTTTTTAGAGATAGTACAAGATGTTTCGATCAGATTTGGAACTGGAGAGTTTGTTTTACATAAAAACCTTTGACACATGATTTATTTTTAAATAAAGCTGTAAAGAATTTGATTGGTGAACTACATGATAGCACATCTTTGGAATGTCTCCCACACATCCCTGCAAAGGAATCAGACACCTTTGGGCAAAAGCCAAAAGGAAGAACAGTGTCATCTAGTGGTAAACCATATAACTGCAAGTAGAAGTTATCCCCTAGTGGGTTGCAAGAATTTTCAGTGTCATAGCTAGGGTGGGCCAATGAAGGTCAATCCACCACACTGTTCAACACCTTAGAATGTCTGGCTCTCAC